TGCCTCCCAAAATATTGGGATTACAGGCATGAGCCATTGCACCTGGCTGCGAATTATTTGTCTTACACAGAGATCTCTAATCCAGTTATGGATATCTAAAACTTGCATCAGTTTTTCCTTTGTCCTTTAGTAAATGGGAATTTTAAAAAATGCAATTAAACTATGTAACCAGCAGATGGCAATAATGATCTGTAAATGAAAATTTCAAAACTTTCAGTTACTTAATTCATTTTTTTTAAAAAATCATGTTCTTATAATAAATCCATTTACTAAATATGAAATGCAGGAAAATTCCAAATGTAACCCCACATAAAAATTACATTGCATATATCATATGTCAAAATAATTAAGATATTCATCATGGCCAAGATTTAGTTTTCCAAATAATGACTTTGTTTTAATTGATTCAGAAAATTTATTAAAGTTTTAACTTCGCACAAATACATAGATATAAATTTAAGTGGATAGTTAAGTTCCATCTCTAGCCTCCAGGCTAGATAGAGGTATTTCAGTGAAGACCATTTTGAAAACATTACAAACTTTTCCAGTTACAATTTGGTAATTTAAAGTATGAATTTCACTTTAATTGAAACTTTATGCATAAAAGGTTGGTTTTTATTTGTGCTGTCTCATAATTTCTTGTGCATTAAGATACTTTTCCCCCTTTGTACAGTGCAAGGAGTTGGAACTGGCACCAAAGTATTTGTCTCTAGTTTATCAGCATTAGTTATTCTCAAAGATGGTGGCAAAAATCTTGGGATCTCATAGTTATTTTATTTAGTAATTTTATTCATTTTCATTATACCTCTCTAAGACTTTTTCTACAAATTCAAACATGTTTCTGCCAGGCTTTGGTATCAGGATGATTCTGGCCTCATAAAATTAGTTAGGGAGGATTCCCTCTTTTTCTATTAATTGGAATAGTTTCAGAAGGAATGGTACCAGTTCCTCCTTGTACCTCTGGTAGAATTTGGCTGTGAATCCGTCTGGTCTTGGATTTTTTTTGGTTGGTAGGCTAATAATTATTGCCTCAATTTCAGAGCCTGTTATTTGTCTATTCAGGGATTCAACTTCTTCCCGGTTTAGTCTTGGGAGAGTGTATGTGTCCAGGAATTTATCCATTTCTTGTAGATTTTCCAGTTTATTCGTGTAGATGTGTTTATAGTATTATCTGATGGTAGTTTGTATTTCTGTGGGATCAGTGGTGATATCCCCTTTATCATTTTTTATTGTGTCTGTTTGATCTTCTCTCTTTTCTTCTTTTTTAGTCTTGCTAGCAGTCTATCAATTTTGTTGATCTTTTCAAAAAACCAGCTCCTGGATTCATTGATTTTTTGAAGGGATATTTGGGTCTCTATCTCCTTCATTTCTTCTCTGATCTTAGCTATTTCTTGCCTTCTGCTAGCTTTTAAATGTGTTTGCTCTTGCTTCTCTAGTTCTTTTAATTGTGATGTTAGGGTGTCAGTTTTAGATCTTTCCTGCTTTCTCTTGTGGGTGTTTAGTGCTATAAACTTCCCTCTACACACTAAATGTGTCCCAGAGATTCTGGTATGTTGTATCTTTGTTCTCATTGGTTTCAAAGAACATCTTTATTTCTGCCCTCATTTCATTATGTACCCAGTAGTTATTCAGGAGCAGGTTGTTCAGTTTCCTTGTAGTTGAGCGGTTTTGCATGAGTTTCTTAATCCTGAGTTCTAGTTTGATTGCACTGTGGTCTGAGAGACAGTTTGTTATAATTTCTGTTCTTTTACATTTGCTGAGGATGCTTTACTTCCAACAATGTGGTCAATTTTGGAATAAGTGCGATGTGGTGCTGAGAAAAATGTATATTCTGTTGATTTGGGGTGGAGAGTTCTGTAGATGTCTGTTAGGTCTGCTTGGTACAGAGCTGAGTTGAGTTCTTGGATATCCTTGTTAACTTTCTGTCTCGTTGATCTGTCTAATGTTGACAGTGGGGTGTTAAAATCTCCCATCATTATTGTGTGGAGTCTAAGTCTCTTTGTAGGTCTCTAAGGACTTGCTTTATGAATCTGGGTGCTCATGTATTGGGTGCATATATATTTAGGATAGTTAGGAGCTTACTTATTTTCTAGGTAATTTCAAATTGGTCTGTTTATAAATGTTAAAAGATCCTTTCAAATTCTTCTTCAGCAAGTTGCCTCCACTAAAAAAGTGTCTTTGGACATGTTTATTTTATAAAACAACTGCTTCAGTCTAAAACCTTTCTTGGGTTTACATATCTTGGATTGTCTCATTTTTAAATAGCATATTTGCTGCTGTTGAATTACTTTACAGAGCCTCTTTAAATTCATATTGGATGCAGGTGCTTCATCAAGGAGAAAGTGGAAAGACACCAACTTGCCGTGAAGCATACAGCAAGTTTAGATATAAATGCATATGTAAGTAATACTTTGCACTTAGCTGTCTTTTGGACTATGGGAGAAAGCCATCTGTAATAACAAGTTGGAATTTCAAAGAGTTCCAATCTATTTTCTGTGTCCATGAGGGGGCTATCCACTCCCCACTCCTAATCCCCCCCGCCAAAAAAAAAAACCTCAAAACCAAAAAACTAGAGCTCTGTAAGCCACCCATGCCCTGGTCATGTAGTGCTCCAGGCCTATATCAGATAAGACATACCTTATAAACAACTCCAAGCCTTTATCAGATAAGACATGCCTCATAAAGGCATGTCTTATTCAAAGGGAGGGAGGTGATCCATAAATTAATTGGGAGATTTTTTCAGCTCCAAGTAGAGAGACTGCACAATTGCATACTATATGCACATTCATTTGAACCAGATTGGTACTCAGTTATCACTGTTAAATGACTTAACCAACATATACACAACTATACTTATATACATGTACCATGCCCCCCAAATCTACAAAATCCATTTTTCCCTGGATTTGATGGTAATATACCATGTACAAACTCCATCATATTGAGATTATTTTTATTTACCACCAAAGTAACTAATATAAGAATTACTACATTCAATATTAATAAGCAAAAGCCTCTACTATATTAGTCCATTTTCCCCATTTAGTAAAAAAAAAAAAAAAGTGCAGCTTGCTGCCAGTGCTCATTTAATTTTACATAAACACTTTATTTGAGGCTGACGCAAATCTGACTGATTTTCAACATGAAAGTAAAATATAAAAACTGTTCTTGTCCGGGCGCGGTGTGGCTTATGCCTGTAATCCCAGCACTTTGGGAGGCCATGGCGGACGGATCCCAAGGTCAGGAGATCGAGATGAGACCATCCTGGCTAACGTGGTGAAACCCCGTCTCTACTAAAAATACAATAAATTAGCCGGGCGTGGTGGCGGGCGCCTGTAGTTCCAGCTACTTGGGAGGCTGAGGCAGGAGAACGGCTTGAACCCAGGAGGCGGAACTTTCAGTGAGCTGAGATCATGGCACTGCACTCCAGCCTGGGTGACAAAGCGAGACTCCATCTCAAAAAAAACAAAAACAAAAACAAAACAAAACTGTTCTTGGAGTTATTTATAAACAGAATTTGTCTCTAATCCTAATGTAACAGAAATGTAGATGATGATGTTACAGTAGGATTAGAGACAAGTATTTTGGGGGCAAACAGGAAACGATTTAAAGAATGAGTTTCAGAGTATTTCTCGGCATATTAAATGTAAAACATAGTAAAAGTGCCAATGATACACAATGAATCTGTGTGCTGTGTTTTACATTATATTTTAGCTTGATTTAAGATTGAACTTTGATTATAATATAGAGATGAAGATATATCACTAGACTAGGCCCAGTATGCTTTGGGTAATTTACTTTGTTTCTCTAGTTCTGATTTCCTCAACTATAAAATACTTTAGATGAAATGGCCTAAATAAGGTCTTTTAAACTTATTTGATTCTAGTTGGTATTTGTACACATATTTAGGTAGATGCACCTGCTGAGTCATACAGTGGCCTGTACTAAGATCTCTTTTTACCACTTTTTCCCTTCCCTCCTCCTCTGCCTCCAGCTATGTGTTGAGACTCCACCCGGAGGGTCTTACTCTGCAATCTATCCCGCAGTTTGTCCTCCAGTACCTACACTTGTCATTGCCCACCCAGAGGGCTGAACTCATCTCTCTCTCATCTCTTCCGCCCAGCCCCAACCTGGCCTCTCCCTTATCCCTGCCTTTATTCCTCTGATTCCTTCTCACCTGCACTGCCCAGTCTCTAAGTAGGGTGGGCCTCCTTGTTCCTATTTTCTGATTACTTCTATCTACTAGCAGCCTAAATGGCAACTAGAGAATAAGGAGAGTGAGACAGCCCTAAATAAATAATAAGTATTTATATCAAGACCACCAGATTTCACACACGTATGGACCCATCTCCTAATGATAAATATGGAACTTTAAAATGCTCTCCTCATCTTTGCTACCATCTGTTGAAACTCTTTTTGAGATACTTATCAGTGACAATTTATAATCCATTAGTAGAAAAACCATTGAGTTTTGCAGCTTTTATATTTCCTAATTAAGGCTGTATACCTGGGTTCAATAAAAGCAAGGTAGACTTTTTTAAAAAAATTAAAATTTGGAAATATTTAAAGGGCTAGTGCAGTGTTTCAGTTATAAGTGTAAACAGAATTTAAATCTCCACTATTCCTAAGAGAAACCCCATACCCACTTGCAGTCATTTCCATTCCTCCCTCCTTCCAGCCTCTGGCACACACTAATCTATTTTCTGTCTCTATGGATATTTCTATGCTGGCCATTTCACATGCATGGGATCATATAACATGTAGTCCTTTTTGACCGGCTTCTTTCTCTTAGCATCCTGTTTTCAAGGTTCATCCATGCTGTAACATTTATTGTACTTTATTTTTTATAGCTGAATAATCTTCCATAATATGGATATGCTGCATTTTATTTATCCATTTGTCAGTTGATGGGCATTTGGGTTGTCTCCACTGTTTGCCTATCATGAATGATGCTGCTATGAACATTCGTGTACAGGTTTTTGTGTGGACATATCTCTTCATTTTTCCTAGGTGTACACCTAGGAGTGGAATTGCTGAGTCATATAGTAAGTAACCTTTTGTTTATCCTTTTCATGAACTGCCAGACTGCACCATTTTATATTCTTACTGACAATATATAAGGGTTACAATTTCTCCATATATATATAATTATAATTATAATTATAGCCATCGCAGTGGTTGTGAAGTGGTATCTCATTGTTGTTGTTGTTTTACTAAGAGGCTATTTTTAGAGCAGTTTTAGGTTTACAGAACAATCTAGTAGAGAATATAGAAGTCCCATATATCCCCTCTCCCCCACCCTGGCAGTCTCCCCTATTATTAAACTATTGCATTATTGTAGTGCATTTGTTACAATTGGTGAACCAATATTGGTGCATTATTGACTAAAAAGTCCATAGTTTACATTACGGCTTACTCTGAGTTGCACAGTTGCATGAATTTTGACAAATGCATGATTTCATGTATCTACTATTACAGTAGCATCATAGAGTTATTTCACTGGCCTAAATATCACCTGTGAGCCATCCCTTCATTTCTCCCTCTCTCCCCCCAAACCGTGGAAACCACCGATCTTCTTACCATCTCTGTAATTTTGCCTTTTCCAGAATGTCATATAATTAGAACCACCCAGCATATAGCCCTTTTTTTTACAAGCAATATGTATTTGAGATTCCTCCAAGTCTTTTCACAGCTTGATGGTGCATTTCTTTTTATTGCTGAAAAATATTCCATTGTATGGATAACGAATGTACCACAGACTGTTCATCCATTACCTATTGAAGGACATCTTAGTTCTAAGTTTTGGCAATTAATGAATAAAGCTGCTGTCAACAGTCATGTGCAGATTTTTAAGTGGATATAAAATTTCAACTCACTTGGGTACATACCCAGGAACATACTTGCTAGATCATATGATAAGACTATGTTAGCTTTGAAAGGAGTTGGCCAACTATCTTTTTAAATGGCTGTACCACTTTGCATTCCACCAGCAATGAATGAGAGTTCCTATTGCTCCACATCCTCACCAGCATTAGTGTTGCTAGTGTTTTGAATTGTAGCTCTTCTAATAGGTATGTAGTTGTAACTCATATTTTAATTTGCAACTCCCTAATCACATGTGATGTTGAGCATCTTTTCATATGCCTATTTGCCATCTGTATATCTTTGATTAAGTATCTGTTTAGAGAGATCCTTTGCCCATAATTTCTTTCCTTATTGTTGAATTTTAAGAGCTCTTTGTATATTTGAAATATGAATCCTTTATCAGATATGTGTTTTTGCAAATATTCACTCCCAGAGTGTGGCTAGTCATTTTATTCTCTTAACTATGTTCTTCACAGAAGTTTTTAATTTTCATGCAGTCCATAATGTTAATTTTTTTGTTACTGGATTGTGCTTTTGGTATTGTACCTAAAAAACCAAAACTACTTAGATTTTCTCCTGTTACTTTCTAGAAGTTTTATAGCTTTGCATTCTGTATTTAAGGCTATGATCCATTTAAGTCAATTTTTGCAAGAGATTTAAGGTCTGTGTTTAGACTTATTATTTTGCATGTGGATATTCAGTTGTTCTAGTACCATTTGTTGAAAAGATTATTATTTCTCCACTGAATTGCCTTTGTTCCATTGTCAAAGGTCATTTAACTATATTTATATGGGCCTAGTTCTGGGCTCTCTGTTCCATTTATGTAATTGTCTATTCTCTTGCTAATAGTACACTGTCTTTATTACTATAGTTTTGTAGTAAGTTTTGAAGTTGGGTAGCATAAGTCCTCTGACTTTGTCTTTCTTCTCCAACACTGTGTTGGCTATTTTGGGTCTTTTGCCTTTAAATAAACTTTAGAATCAGTTTGTTATTAGCCACAGGTAACTGGCTCAAATTTTGGTTATGTTTGCATTGAATCTATGGATTAAGTTGAGAAGAACAGACATCCTCACAATATTGAGTCCACCTATCCATGAACATGGACTATCTCTCCATTTATTTAGATCTTCTTTGATTTCTTTCATCAAAGTTTTGTAGTTTTCCTTATATAGCTTTTGTGAAAATTTTATTTATACCTATTTGTTCTTTTTTCTTTTTTTAGTGATGATATAACTTTATTTCAAATTCCAATTGTTCACTGCTGGTATATAGGAAAGCAACAGTCTTTTTAAGTATTAATCTTGTATCCTTTAACCTTGCTATAATTCAACCTTGCCATAATCACTTATTAGATCTATGAGTTTGTTGGAAGCACATTATTTTCTATTTTTTAAAAAATCAATAAAAATAGGAAGGAAAAGATCCATTAAAACTCCAAACAAACCGAACAAATAAACCCACTTGTATTATGCGTAACATAAGTATCCAGGAGGACAAAAAAATGAATTAATCAAAGTAACTGCTCAACATATCATTTGGCTATATACTCGTAGTTGAGTAGTACAGAAACAATGCAAACAAACCCTGACCTCTTTTTAGAAGGTTTGTGTATTGTAGTTGTACAGGTGAAGCAACCCGAAATTAGTTTTAAGTGTATGGTAGAGTTGAGTAAATAAATATGTAGAGGTAATTGTTGAGCCTTCTTCCACTGTATTCCATACAGATATGGAATGGGGCAAAGCAAGAAAAGAGGACTCTGTGGGAGTGCATTGGAATTGGAGGTATCAGTATGAATTCATGATTTCTAACACAATGGGAATCCTTCTGTCAGGAAAGACAAAGACAGGCTGAAGAGCTATACTATATTTAAGGAGACTAAAGTAGCATGATGACTAAATGCAATATGTGATCTTGAAGTGGGTCTGTACTGAAGAAAAGATATGCTACAAAAGACATTACTGGGTCATTTGATAAATCTGGAATATAGATGATACATCACAGTATTGTACCATTGTTAAATCTCCTCAAGTTGCTAACTCTACTGTGATTATTTAGTGAAATCTTGTATTTAGGAAATACACTTTCAACTATTTAGAGATAATGGGGCATGACATGCTACTTACTCTCAAGTGGTTCAGAAAAATAATTTGTATATATTACATATCTATGCAGGTGCATGTGTGTTTATGCACACACTACTCACTGCAAATGCACACGATAAAGTAAATGGGGCAAAAGCTTAACAATTGTGAATCTGCATAAAGGGTGTACAGGGTTTCTTTACGGTCTTCTTGCAACTTTTCCATAAGCATGAAATTCTTTCAAATAAAATATTTCTAAAAGGTTGCTGTTAGGCATGCACAAAAAATTTAAGGGTAATAGAGTAGACTTTTGAAAGCAGGAGGTATGATAACATCAAATATTTTGAAGGGCTGTCATGTGGAAGGAGGATTAAGACTTATAATTTGGCTAATCTTATTTGGTGTCATTCTGGTTTGTGTAATATCATTACAACATATCCAAGTGCTCATGGATGAAATAAGATACAGGAGTTTTTACGTTTTATGGAGTCTTCAGTATAATTCAGTACAGAAAGGTGCAAAATCATGTGATTCTGAGGGTTCATTGGGTAGCATACACGAGTGAAGGGCACTGAGTGCAGAAAATGGAAAATGGTGAGAACTTGAGAGCAATGTCTTTTCCAAATGTTTTCAAATGCGACTAAAGACAAACCCAAAACACTGTGCAGTAATCCCAGGCTGTGTCCAGCCTGTGAGTGGCCAGTTGGAACCCACAATCTTATCTAATCCTTTTTGTCAGGTGAGGAAACAGGTACCAAACATCATAAAACAGTGTAAGAGAATGAAAGGTGTAAATGGGTGCATATATATTTAAAAAAAAAAAAACACCATTTTTAATGAAAGAAACTAATATCCACACATTTGTACTTATGTACAATTGGGGTAATATATAATTTTAAGCTGTTTACAAATAATATGTAATGCTTCAAATATTACATAAGGTTGATAATATATTTCTAGCAGAAATAAATATATTGCACTTAAAAAGAACTGCATTAGATGTTACTTCATAGTATTAGGCTTATAACTTTTTTCATAAAACATTTCCCATGCCCTTCCCCCAACCCCCAGCACACACATTTCATTACAGTGACTGTTCTCACGCAATTCATTAAGCAAATGAACACAGCAAACAACAGAACTGTGATAGTGTCTACTAAAGAGGCTATATCCAATTTTATCCATTAGGAAATAAAACAATTTCTTTTACGTTTCTGAAAATAAGGGAGGAAAAAAAATCCAACTAAACACAATATTTTAATGAACTAGAAGTAAAATACAACTTGTATTTTTTGTCCATATGTATGATTTCACAAAAATGATTTTGTTTTCTTATCAAGATATTTCATTTACAAAGGAGAGGGTAATGAAGTTATTTGAGGGAAGGACAGAGAAAGAAGGGCTAGAAAATACATATGGAATATTTGCCGATCAAATATTTATAAATAAACCTTTCCATATTTAAGCATTCTGAAGAAAGGTAAGTCTTGGAATATTATAATTGGCATAGAATATAAGTAGCAAAGAAAGGATTTGATGGTTTTTTAAAGTTTAAGGAGTTTGTAACCTTCCCTTTGTTTACAAAAAAATCTGTAATTCTAAAATAACATAAAAACTTCTATAAAACCCATCCTCCAGCCAGGCACAGCTCTTTAAAGGAGAAAGCTGAAAATCTTATCATCTGTCCAGTGATTTGTCTAGATTTAGGGTAGAGTATTGCTTTGTTTGTAATAATTATCAATTTCCTACATGTTTAATAGTGACAACAGTTTTTCTTACTTAGTCACTGGAAGATTAAGTTGTTTTTCTTGCAATTTGTTACTCTGCACATTACATAACTGGATTTTTTGAACTTTTTAGTTACTGAGTCATGGCTAAGCTTGACTGAGTATTTAATGGGGTGTAAAGTCATTTCATCCTCTTTATTCAAAAGTGATTTTTCTCAATATAAATCAGCTTATATTTAAGCAGGACAGCCTTTCAGGCTGTTTATCCCAACATCCTTTTGAAAAAGGCAGCATGGGATAAGGATGCTTTACTTCTAAGAATATTTATTCCTTGGCCTTTCAGAGGGTTTTTTTTTTTCTTTTTTGGTGGGAAGGGAGCAGTTAGAGAGGAAAGTGTGTGTTGTGGCTGGAGAAGCAAAATGACAGAGATATGGATAAGGAGGGGAGACCTTGGAATGCCCCAGAAGTCAGTGTAACTCCTACAATATAGCTGTACACAGGGCCTTTGCCAGATGATGATTCATCAGGAAGCTTCTTAATATCTCTTACTCTGTGCCCACCTACTAGGAATGACGGTAGGCCTTCTGGACAAGTTACCATTGTTATTAACTCAAAAGATCCAGCAATACAATATAAGCTCATTAATCTACATCTTGTTAACTAATAATCTGTGATGTGTTAGACAAGTTGGATATGTTTACCTACATATTGCTAAGGGTAGACAGAGGAGAGGAGAAGACTAAGTTAGTAAAAAAAAAAAAAAAAAAATTGAGGCTGGGCGCGGTGGCTCACACCTGTAATCCCAACACTTTGGGAGGCTGAGTGGGCAGATCACAAGGTCAAGAGATCGAGACAATCCTGGCCAACATGGTGAAATCCCATCTCTACTAAAAATACAAAAATTAGCTGGGCATCGTAGCGCTTGCCTGTAATCCTAGCTACTCAGGAGGCTGAGGCAGGATAATTGCTTGAACCCAGGAGACAGAGATTGCAGTGAGCCGAGATCATGCCACTGCACTCTAGCCTGGGAACAGACTGAGACTCTGTCTCAAAAAAAAAAAAAAAAAAAAAAAATTGAATCTTCAGAATTATTGATATTTTAAAAACAAACCACAACTGCAAAACCTATTAAGTTCTGAATTAATTCCTCAGGATTAGATAAAGCACGTCTGGCAGGACCTCTTTTTAGCAGCACTTCCCATTAGCCATGCTTTTTGACACTATAATATACTCATGGCTTGGGGAGAGAGGTGGGAGGAACCCTGAATATATGCCAAATATATTATAATTCATGGCCTTTATTATTCAATTGGCTTTCCCATTAAATATGTAGTTCTTGAAATTACTTTTGCCAGAATGGGCTTTGGAATTTTAAATACTAAACTCCCAAGGGTTTAATAAGAATCAACCACCAGGATACCTCAGAAAGGCCCAGGGAGGGGAAATTTCTACCCCTTGGTTTCCATGACTCAAGTGACTCTGATGAGGTTAAGCTCTATTTCACTTGTGCTTCTTTTCTCTGGTTCGGATAATACTTAAAAATATACATCCAATTTAGATTTTAGGTCTGACTAGTCTTTGTTTTCTCTAAGCACTCTTATTTATAGTCTTATATTGCTTAATTACAAAATAAAATTATGAAGTCAGGAAATACTAGTGTAAAACCATATTTAACAAAAACACACAAATATCTTTGAGACATGCAGATTGGCAGAAATGTATGTATTAAATGTATGTATCAAAACAGTATGTATTAAAACAATCTTTTCATCCTGTTTGAAAATAAAATTCAGACACAGATTTCACCTTAGTAGACCAGTAAGTTATCAAGGTATTGAGTAGCATTATGTAAAACAGCATCTTTTGTTATTCCTGCTTTAAGCAGCAGTACTCTATATTCAAAAGAGCACTGGCAACAGGCCAGCTATTAAATAGTAAACCCCTATCCTAGCTCTATGGATAGTTTAAACATTACTCATAACAGGTTTTTTAAAGAAATGACACCTGTACTTTGTTTGAAAACAAACTACCTGTGGATACTACAGCATAACATGCAACAAGTTAAAAATTAGCCCACAGTGTTTGCTGTAGGATCGTGAGATGCTTTGTTAACACAGCCTATGCTTTTCTGTAAGTAAACTTCAGAGTATAGTGGAGAATAGCAAGTGCAAAATCCAACAACAGCATCACCTAGACAGGCTGTGCCATGATGCCTTGTTTCACAGGCTGGAAGTGCCCACAAAAGCATGTGATATGGAAAAGGCTAACATTAAAACCACCAAATAAAATCCCACGGGAGTCTGATGTGATAAGTATATTGCATTTCCCCCAAAATACACTTCTACTGTCAGTAGAAATATTTCCCATCTCTTTTAACAGATTCAATAATTTTGTAGCAAGAAGAGTAGAATGAATATTACATACAAAAAATTAAATTAGAGTTTTGGAGAAATTTGCTAAGACGACAGGTTACATCCTGTAGTTGAAGTGCATTAAATCTGAAGTTGAAAAACTATTAATTTCATTAAATATGTTATTAGGGAAATAAATTGTTGCAAAATGCCAAATGTGTTACCCTGACTGTAAATGCTTATATATATATATATATATCTATATATGCTGTTCAAAAACAATATACAGGTCATATATAACTAAAATATAATTTGTTGCTATTATAAACATTAAAGGAAGGCTTAAGAAGATAGCAAAAGTTGAAAATAAAGTAGAAGAATGCTTTAGTTGACTTATAAGAACTGCCAACATTTCAGTTATGAAGCCATTATGTTATCAAGCAATTTAAGATTACAGACCTAGCAAAATGGTAAAGGAGTCACTAAATGTAACACAGTAAGGAAAAAGGCCAAATTAGATGTATGGACACGTTTCCACTCAGGAGCACAGGTTAAATCATGGCTATCCTGGCATTTAGAATGGTCATTCTCAAATCCTTGTCAATCAGTGGCAGCAAAAACAAGGCAGATTTACTGAAAATGAGAATTTGTCCAGATGCATTTTAACATCCACAAGGTTTCCCAAAACTAAAGGAAAATGAAGGGACCTCTGGCACTAATGGCAGAGAAATCCTTTTGGAATAGAATCACCATCCTTCTGTTGCAGCTGTAAGTGAAAGCAAGCCTCACATAACATCATGCCTAGGCTTTGGAGTGTTCCTCAGTGAATTCGTCAGTAGTGTGTTTAGAACGCAGCCCAGAAAAATCAAACTTCAGTTTTACCATGTAATATAGAGAGGCTCTTGCTTCAAAACTGTACTTGGAAGATTTTTCCTCCATAACCCTAGCCCCAAACCTAACTCTGGCAAGAATTTGCAATAAAGAAAACTAGGAAGAAAGAAGACTATGAAAACCAAGCTTGTTGGTTACTGGCCCTTCAGTATTACAAATAGAACTTTGTGAGGTCATTACCATGTATTCATCCACAAAACAGGATGCATTAGCATTATCTCAGCTCCTTCCCCAGCAGACTAACACAAAAGAAAACGAAACATGCTTATGCTACGGCACTACAAGTATTTCTCTACTGGCTCCCCTTTTCTACAGGGATAAATTGACTTCAGTTAGTCATTATGGTCAGTATGCTATATAGTATGGCCTCTTTGAAGATTCTTTTATCCTGTGAAAAGCAGAAAGAAACCCTATACACAGTGATTTTATACATTACCGCATCAACACAGCGTTTTAACCATGAGGAATAATGCACTTTAAGATTCATCAGCCTTGTATTATTAAACTTTCAGGCTGGCTGAGAACTTTACATGGATTCTCTCCTGAACCCAAGAGCTGTCCCTCAACTACAGATGAATCCTGGTCCATGGTGCATTCCCTCAGTGGTAGGTTTTATTGTGAGTCCAGCTCTTCTCTTTGATAGGTCCTGTGTCTCCTGGAAAGCCCCTGCTCCAATACCCCACATCCCACCCACCCAGCCCTGTCCTATATTTCCATACCCATTTGCGCATTCTGGGTCTCCATTTTTAGAAGAGTCATACAAATGGCGTCATCACAGCAGAGGAATGGCGTAGTCCTTGAATGGCAGCATAGGGCCCCTGCTGAAAATAGTGATGGTATCGCGGCATGTGGAATGAAGGGAATGTGGGGCCACTCCCTTGCATGGAGCTGGCAATGGCCGATGGGGTCAGAGGCATTCCCAGTCGGCTATATGGTGGCAGAGAACCCTGGATGGGGTGAGGAATGGGTGTTGCTATGGATGCTGTGCTGGTGCCAAGAGCAGTCAGGGACTGTGGGTGCTGAAACCCAGGAAAACTGGAAGAAGATGATACCCAGGAGCTGAGAGACAAATTATCAGATGTTGTAAAGGCTGACCCTGTAAGGAAAAATACTCATTAGACTGGAAACACTGTGTCAATATACAGATCAAGAATTAAATTATCTGTAAAGATCCATTTGTGTTTAAGAATATTTAATACATCTGTAATTTAGAAAGACAAACACACATGAGATCTGTCATGAGGCAAATCCACCTTTCTAGATAAGAAGATGATATTTACACCTCCATGGAATAGAGAATTTACTAAATGGAAAAAGACAACTCATTGGATAGCCTGCAGCCTCCCACAGAGTGGCCAAAACATTAATACCCTGCCTGCAGTTAATGACCTGATTCTCTTAAAAGAAACTGCAAATACCTGATATCTGTTCTGACCTCTGTAACGTCATAAGGAAGACTGAATGTATTAAATCTCTTCCAAGCTGTCTGGTTTCCAAAACTGTTGTGAGAACCTAAGAAAGTAAGTTTTCCTACCACAGCATCCAGAAATGTAGAATAGAGTTGACACTGAATTTTCTGACTGTACACAGTTGACCCTTGAACAACAGTGGTTAGAACCGCATGGGTCCACTTACATGCAGATATTTTTAAATACAATTTACACTGAGTGTGCCTGACCCCTCTTGCCTCACTTTCACCTCCTCCACCTCTTCAGCCTCTACAACCTCCGAGACAGCAAGACCAACCCCTCCTCTTCCTCCTCTGCCAACTCAGTGTGAAGATGAGGATGAAGATCTTTATGATAATCCACTTCCACTTAAGGAATAGTAAATATATTTCCTTTCTATGATTTTCTTAATAACTTTTTCTCTAGCTTGATTTATTATTAGAATACAGAATGTAATACATGTAACACACAGGATATGTGTGAATTGACTGTTTAAGTTACAGGTAAGGCTTCTGATCAACAGTAGGCTATTAGTAGTTCAGTTTTAGGAAGTCAAAAGTTATATGCACATTTTGGACCACACAGGAGTCGGTTCCCTAACCACTGTGTTGTTCAAGAGTCAACTGTAATACTAGTGGTTCACTTGGACTGAGTAATAAGAAATGTCCTATGTTTTCACGGATTATATAATTTCATATTAAGGACATAAAACAATGACAGAGGACTCTCTCCCTACACGAACTTCCCTGTTCCCAGAATGGAGCACCTCTGAGCTCTTTTCTCTGGACTCTCTTCCCAGATGCAGAGGGCTGCTCTCTAAGCCTTGGGAACAGAGAAACTTTGTTCAGTTTCTGCTGTCAACATTGGGGCCACTGCCTCTATGTAATATCCTTCATTAGGAAAATCCTCTTTTAAAAGTGTTTTCTATTTTGGTCTTTGATTCTAACAAATTATTCCTGACACAGATGGAACAGATATATTCCCTGATTTTCAGATTATGAAACTGAGGTTCAGAAGGACTTGGGGACTGACCCCAAAGTTCAACAGCTCTTATGTACTAAATCATGGACAAGTAACTCCTGATCCCTGACTCAAAGGCTCAGTTTCTTTCACTAAAAAAAACAAACCTGCAGGCAGCATCATCGCCTATGATTCAAAGGCAAAATAATGAAATGTGTGAGAATCAGCATAGGGGCTCTTCCTTCCCAGGGAGGCTCCTGAAATCCTTTCCGGGCATCGTGTACTCTGAGGACTGGCCGTCTCATCAACGACCTGCCCCCATTCTCCTTTAGGTGCTCTGGCTCCCAGCAATTCCATGGCCTTGGAAGCTACCTTACCTCGATTTGGGGTTGTCTGACTCTCATCCCCCAAGACATCTTCTTCTCCTCCATAGGTACGGATGGGTGAGCGCGCATAGGAATGCTTTTGAATCAGGCTCTCCACACTTTCCCTAGGTTAGAGTGACACATCACAGGTTAACTAAAATGTAAAGGACTCAGAGATAGAGAGAGGTCTTAGAGGTAACTCACTAATCAGTAAAGCCATTTTCTCAGCCAAAAAGCAACCACTGCACAGAAAGATGAAATTCAAAACATGTACATTTATTCTACTGTACAGTGACTCCTCAGAGACATGACCTCAGGTGTATGACTGCAAGCAAACATGACTGACTAGGACATGGACAATCCCCTGAAATACTTTAAAATGAAGGACAAAGGGGTGAACAGGAGCTATGAAACCTGACCACAGGAATATGGAATTCCATGATGTGAAAAATAATGAGTGAATGAATTTACTACAAGGAGCTGCAATGACTCTTCTTACTGACTTCATCAGCTAACAAATACAAAACAAATACTCAGTTGATACAAATTGCACTGATCCAACAACCGATGAAATGTTAGCAAAAAGTTCAAATTTTCATTAGTCATCAAAAGACTCTAATACGCACCAAGAAATCAAACAAATTCATAGATTATAGTACAATATGGATAATGAACACTAAGATCCTTGTTGCTCTAAGACTGAAAATTACAAAAAACCCATGAAGAAAACACAAATGGCCAATAAGGAGTTTTAGCCTCTAGGTAAATTGGTACATTGTTTTGTAGATGGTCTTCCTCCTGTAACATAGTCTATCAACCAAAGAGTAAGGTTAACTTTAAAAAATAAAAAATTATTTTGGCATTGGACAATTTGACCTTCTGCTTTAAAAAACAAAAACAAAAACAAAAAAAGACAGTACAATTTTAGCCAATTTGTTTGCCAAAACTGCATACTGATAACAGATTAGTCTGCATGGCACACATTTCTGGAACAGCTGTGGCCCAAAGACCAATGCCAAACTGACCACCAAAGGACAAAAGAGGACTTATAAAATACGTGTTAAATAAGGAAGGACAAACAAAACACCACATTTCATACTGAGGGAATAAGCACAGCAAATAAAATGTCATAATAACTTTTTAAAATGTTAACACTTCTCAACATTTCACATAAATATGCAAACTTTACCTGCGAAAAATTACTACCTAATTCATAGTAAATTTGGTGTTGTAGAAAGCTTGTATACCCACATAGATGAAGGCATTTTATAATATATAGTATGACTATGAGGACTTAAGGATATGCCTAAAAGGAAAATTAATTCTGCAACTATTTAAGTTATATTTCTATTCTCAAACGGTTTTAGAGTAAGAAGAAAGCACCACCTCATATTGTCAAAATAACACAGCATTAACACATAGGTGTCAAAAAGAATGAGGTCATTCCATATGTACAGATATGGAATAATTTTCAAGATGCAGTAAGTGAAAAAAGTAAAATACAGAATGATATGTAAAGTATGCTACCATTTGTGAAGTTAGAACACAGGATATGTATGTTCACATATGCTGCACGTGCATAGGATTTCTAGAATGTTCCAGTTTCCAGAACAAGAAACTGCCTAGAAGAGGTTGCCTCTGTGGGGTGAAACCAGGAACCTGAAGGATTGGAGTAGTGATTCTCAAACTTGTGTGTATGTTTGAATCAACTAGGGATCTTGAAACAAACAAAAAAAACCTATATTAAGATATGATTAAAATACAGAAAGTGGCACATATTTAAAGTGTACGGGGCCGGGGCCAGTGGCTCACGCCTGTAATCCCAGCACTTAGGCAGGCCCAGGCGGGCAGATCACCCAAGGTCAGGAGTTCAAGACCAGCCTGGCCAACATGGCAAAACCCTGTCTCTATTAAAAATACAAAAATCAGCTGGGCATGGTGCTGGGCACCTATAAACCCAGCTACTCAGGAAGCTGAGGCAGGAGAATTGCTTGAACCTGAAGGCAGAGGTTGCAGTGAGCCGAGATCACGCCACTTCACTCCAGCCTGGACAAAAGAGTGAAACTCCGTCTTAAAAAAATAAAATAAAAATAAAGTGTATAGTTTGATCAGTTTGGACATATGTACGCACCAGTGACAGCATTGCCACAAGTAAAATAATGAAAATATCTAACACTTACGAAAGCTTCCTCAAGCTCCTATGCTCCATGGTCCCCATTGCAACAAATCTTTCCAAGGAAACCACTAATATAATTTGTTTTTGCAGATTAGTCTGCATTTTCTAAACTTTTATAAAGATGAAATCTTATCTAATATATTCTTTTTTATCTGGCTTTTACTCAGCAGATTTTAAGATTTATCATATTGGGCCATACATTAATATTTCTTGCTATGAGTAGCATTATATTACATGGATATATTATGGTTTATTCACTTATTGATGGATATTTGACTTGTTTCAGTTTTTGAATGTTACAAATGAGGCTGCTACACATATTTATGCATACTTTTTAATAAATGGACATATACTTTTATTTATCTTGGAAAGACACCTAAGGATGAAATGACTAAATTGCATGGTTAGATATAAGTGCAATTTATAAGTGCCAAACTATTTGTCAAAGTAGTCATACAATTTAGCATTCCCACCACCAGTGTATGAGAATTCCAGGTCCTCTATACTCTCACTAACACCTGATATGGTCAACATTTAATTTTAGCTATTGTAATACGCATATGCTGGTATTCTATTATACTTTTAATTGTGTTCCCCCAATGACTATAATGTTGATCATCTTTTTCTGTGCTTACTTGCTTCCATATTTCTAGCTGTTAATATTCTGTTCATTTAAAAAATCAGGTTGTTTTCTGAGTTTTTAGATTTCTTTTTCTATTCTGGGCACTGGTGT